TTAAAATCTGGTCAGTGTCCTGTAATCAAGGGTAGAGTAAAAAATATGTTTTATATTCATCTTTTAATTCATAAAAGTAGATATCTCCATTTATTTATAGCATTACATAACTAAAAAACCATTTAAGGTATGAAGACCAAGATGGTGTGGCCTTTTGTGTGGTCGCAGTCTCCTTTAGTGGTATAGAGGTTGTTTGACCTTGTTTTCGCAACACGGTCATATTGGTAGGAAGACTCATTGGAACGCACCTAGTCCGGGCGATTGTTTGACCTTGTTTTCGCAACATGGTCATATTGGTAGGAAGACTTATTGGAACGCACCTAGTCCGGGGGTTGTCTGCATGATCATTTCCAAAGTTGAACCGTGGACGTGGAACATTCCCAAACGTTTCGCCGGCATCGTAGTCGGCATCGTCAGTTAGTATCGTCATCCTAAGCACCCCTACTCGTCAAAGAGACAAGTGAAGCCGATCCTTTGACCAAGCGTATGCTAAACAGTTATGGTATCTCCCCTTCCGGTCAAAGAGACAAGTGAAGCCGATCCTTTGACCAAGCGTATGCTAAACAAATATGGTATCTCCCCTTTCGCTCAAAGGAGCAACCACACTATCTAAATAAACACGGTAAAAATTGCGTTAGGGCAGAGATATTAGGATGCTACCGGAAACGCAGATAACCCAAAAATAAACACGGTAAAAATTGCATTAGGGCAGGGATATTAGGATGCTACCGCAAACGCGGATAACCCAGGCCGGAAGGGGAGATACCATAATTGTTTAGCATACGCTTGGTCAAAGGATCGGCTTCACTTGTCTCTTTGACGGACAGGGCGGAAGGGGAGATACCATAACTGTTTAGCATACGCTTGGTCAAAGGATCGGCTTAACTTGTCTCTGACGAGTAGCTGTGTGGTGCTTAGGATGGCGATACTCACTGACGATGCCAACGATGCCGGCGAAACGTTTGGGAATGTTCCACGTCCACGGTTCAACTTTGGAAATGATCATGCAGACAATGGCCCTGCCGGCGAAACGTTTGGGAATGTTCCACGTCCATGGTTCAACTTTGGAAATGATCATGCAGACAATGGAGCCCGTGACTAGGTGCGTTCCAATAAGTCTTCCTACCAATATGACCATGTTGCGAAAACAAGGTCAAACAACCTCTATAAAAAACCATGTGTTTAAACAGCCTTCAGTTAAGTACTTCGAATGGTTATCAGTGAGATTTACTACTTCTCAACCAGATCTTCTCTAAGCATATTTCAGGATTAGCCAGGCTTATTCTGGTAGGTAAAAATATAAAGTTGCGTCTTTGGCTGTAAGAA